CGGTCATTTATAGGTGAGATAGTGTGGCTGGTCGAGAGCACAAGGCAGCGACCGGACGCAGGCTTGGTTTGACCTGTGCGTTCGGTCATCTTCTGGCTGGTGGCGGTTCCACGCAATCGGACGTGCAGGCCCTGAGTTAGGTGCGTGCTGACGTATGGTGACGTCAGCCTCACGGGCGAGCTATGAGAGGCATGGTGTGGATCGGATGCTGGGGCGCGTCAGGTCGCCTCTGACCTGACGTGTCCGGTCAGTGAAATGCAGCTCGGGAACCTCTCTGGAAACGATCGGACTTGGCTTCACGCGATAGAGGAGCGCATCCGGTCGAACTTTGACTAAGGCGCCGACCATTTAGTTACCGTTGAGATCGAACGCGTTGAATTCAAAGCGGTGACACGTGGTGTGATCCATGCGACCGGACACTGGCGCGGGCACGTCCGATCAGTACGTAGAGCGGCCTCCATTGGCTCTAACAGCTCTATTCGTTTGGGGACGTCTATAAATAGTGTTTGGCCAGCTCCAAGGCATTCCTCTTGGCATTTTGACATTCCTAACATCTTTGTGAGCCTAAGCAAACACCTCCCACTCATCTCCATCATTGATTCATCATCATAGTGAGATTGGAAGTGATTCCAAGTGCATTTGCTTGAGTGATTGCATCTAGTGGCACTTGGGGATCGTTGTGGCTGTAGATTTGTTGTTTCTCTTGGTGGTTACCACCACCTAGATGGCTTGGAGCAGCGGAGGAGTTTTGGCACGAGTTGGTGATTGTTCGTGGCCGGCTACGGTGATTGTGAGGGGTCTTGTGCCTTCCCGGCAGAGAGCCGAAAGATAACTCTAGTGGATTGTTCGTGTCATTGAGTTACCTCACTTGTAGGTAGGTTCTTGCGGTGTCCAATTGTGTGGACAAGGTTCGTGCAACACCTCTTATCCACCGAACCACCAAGTGTTGGTCGACACAACAGGGACTAGCGTGCCGGCAAGCATGTGAACCTCGGGAGAAAAATCGGTTGTTTCTTGCCCCTTGGTATTCTTTCGGTGATTGAATTGGTATTCATCTTATGATTGGTTCACTCTCTACGTTGCGGTATAATCACCCTATTTACTTATTTACATTCCCGTCAAACTAGTTGTAGCAAACTCTTTAGTGTAGCTAGAATTGAGAGCTTGCTTTGTAACTTAAATTCATCTAGTGGAGCTCTTTAGTGTAGCAAGTTTGAGAGCTCTTAGTGTGTAGCAACTTAGCTCTTGTGTGTGCTCTAGTAATTATAGCAACTAGAATTGTTTGGATAGGTGGCTTGTAACCCTAGTAGAGTCAAAGCAAAATTGCATTACACCGTTTGTCATACTAATCAAATTGCTCTAGTGATCTTGTAGATTTTTAAATAGGCTATTCACCCCCTCTAGCCATATTAGGACCTTTCAATTGGGAGTGAAACTTTTAGAAGACACCATATGTTTCATCTTTTCCTTGGCGTGCAAAGCCTCCAAAGTTAGAGTATCATGACTGCATAAAAATGTATCTCTAAAGTTTGCAAAAGAACTAGGCAAATAAGCACAAAAGAATGAGACCAAAATCTTCATCATCGTAATCTACCTCCATAGTCTGTAGATCTGAAATGATCTCCTTGAAGACCGAAAGATGGTTAAGCACAGAACCACCCTCTTACAACTTGTACGTATATAACTTCATCTTCACATGCATCTTACTTATCAAATCTTTAGACATGCAAATCAACTCTAACTTGAGACATAGAGAAGCTGCAGTTTTCTCATACAAACAATCTTGCAAAATATTATTTAGTAGATGAAGTTGAATTTGAGTCAAGACCTTACAATCTTTTCTCTTCTCATCATCGGTTCAGGAGTTTGAATCTTTGTTACTAAATTTATCAAGAGCATCATCCACTTCAGCTTGTGGAAGAATAGCTCTCATCTTGACTTGCTATAGTACGAACCTTGTATCATGATGCAAAGGTGGAAGATCATACTTCACTGACACGGTGAAGAAAATAACAGTAATAATTAGAAAACTAATAATCTGAAACCTGTCTGATACACAATTGTGTAACCACCAGAAATAAAACTGGAAGAATAGATCTCCTGGTAGCCTTCACATTGCACGTAGCTACGCCAATTTTGATTTCACCTGACCTCGGTTCTCCTCGGCCCGTGTGCGTAAGCAATGATTGAACATCAGCCTTGACGAGCGCCACCACCGAATTCGACCTGGGCCTTTTGATCGAGTTATATAGTTTTAACACATGATTTTTTTTTCACCGTAGAATTAAGATCCAACAGCCTCCATTCTCCTTCTACCTTCAGTCTTCTTCTACCTTCAGACAACCACAAATCATAAGATCCACATATCATAAGAAACAATTTTTTTCTATAGAAGGACAAATCACAAATTGTAGAGGAAGAGATACCTGGAGCCAGATCGTCATCATGTGTACATAGGACCACGATGATGAAAACGAACAAAGACGTTGGGAGCCGCCACGAACGCGCTTCTTCTTGGAGGAGCGAATGCTGAGCACCGAGGAAGAAGGAGAGCGAGATGGGCATGAACTCCACGCTCTTGGTCCGGATCACCCAACAAAGCGGACAAAATAGCGAATGCCATGATAAATTTCAAACTCGTTCGGTTGGCTGATACGGTGGTGTTAATTTAAGCGACTATACAACACACGAGGGCACGAGGCGCGACCGACCTGAGGAGCGAGCTCGCCAGAGCCGGTGATCACCGGTGGAAAAAGAGAGAGAAAATCCATGTGTTTTTTTCTCCTAAAACACATGTGTGTTGTATAGCATTTCTGTTTTGATCATGGGTCGCCCAGCCCATGAGGCTATTTGACTCGAGGGCTTAAGATTAAAATCGCCTATTTGTCTTTAATTAATACTCATACGCAACTATGCATAGAGATGGATATGATAATATACATCTTTTCTCCACAGGATCACTTTTACCTCACTTTAGCTCACATTGGAGGGGCTAATGAAAAAAGAAGTAGGCTAAAGTTTAACCCCACTTTCGCACAAACAAACAGAAAAATGGATTCCGTCCTCGTTCCTTGAGTCTAACTTAGGCCGTGTTTGGCCGGGCTCCGCCCGCGGTGCTCTGTCGATGGAGCCGGAGCTGGAGCGGCGAAGCCACAAATCCAGGCTCCACCTCTGTACATGTAAAAGGGCCTCGGCTCCTCTGGTGGACGGGCAGAAGCGGCTCCTCCGTCCAGCGCATTTGGTGTGGCTCCACCGCTGGAGCCAGAGCCGCCGTGGAGCCAGAGCCGAAGCCCGGCCAAACATGCACTTAGCAGAGGCAGCGAGAACGCGCCAATCAGATCGGCGCAGAATAACGACAGCGCAAACACGCCTTCAGTTTCCAGATAGATTCCGATGACCAGCGGCAGGGCTTGCTAAAAATACGCTTCAAATCTGTATAAAAAAATCACAAGAGAAAAAAGGCAAACAATAAATTATTAATTGAACTATTGTTTAATCACAAGAGGAAAAAGCCAAACAATAAATTAATAATTGAACTATTGATTATTATACCTACAAGCTACATCCGTGTGTAATGGCCTGAAATTTAAAATACCTTTCATCACATATTTGCTCTTCTTCGGTGTCATAGTTGCACAGCGGATCCACAGGCCACAGCCACCGTCCACCGGCCACCGCGTGGCCGTGTCAAGTCGTCACGCTGGCGCTGGCCACCGCTCGAGTCGTCGTGCTGCCGTCCGCCGGCCACCGTGTCTGCGTCGAGTTTTCGTGCCGCTAGGGCGCTGTCTTTGCACACTCTACGCTCTGACCGGATTCGAATACGAAGAGACGAAGGACAGAGCAGACGCGAGGAGTCCGTCTCTATTCCATCAGGCCGCCATTAGCTTCCTCCGTTCTGGACTTTTGGCAATTGAGGCCCATCAAGAGGAGCCCATGAGAAGGTGTAGAAGACCAGAACCAACAGAGTAACAAACCGGTTGGCTTGTATGAGGCCACCCCAACGCAGGCTAACGAGTGTGTTAGCTTGAAAAAAAGCAGGAATACACGTAGGCATGGAAGGTCCTGGACTTCCAAGCCCTCAATACAAACTACAAGAATCCTAATCCACCTGTTGCAGTACTAGGACCCAGTGCACTGACGTATCCTACTTTTCTTCAGTGTTTTTTGACGCTTTACAGAGCAAAGGCACCATCTAGCAGCATCACAACGCGCTCCTACATGCTGACTCCAACTTTTGTCAGATGGAGCGGCTGTATCTCCTGCAAGAGACTCGGACGCCTTGCGGAGCTACCGTTTATGGTGACATGGAGAATCAAAACGAACGTGGCCTTTGGGGCAGTACTCCACGTTGTTGCGTTGGAGAAGCCCTTAGCGAGGCGTATGTATTTTATATGTATATGTATATGTATTTATTTACTGGTATATATATCATACATATATTTAGTACTTTGTACAAGTTTTTGGTATGGCGGCTGCCAAGCCTCGCCAAATACCTTCCTCAGCCCCTGCTAACGACGGTGGTGGTTGATGAACAGGGAATTAAACCCTAATTGGATCTGATATCACTTGTTAGCAAATACAGTATAATGTAAATATAGATCAAACACGAGACATAGATCTTTACGTGGAAAACCCTCGTGGGAAAAAACCATGGGCACCAACCGGTGATTTTCACTATACGAGGAGAGTTGTGGCTTACAAGATGTATTTATAGGACAAACTCGCTACAGTCAAATACAGAAACAAATCCACTAAATATATAACCCGAACCATGGGCCCTCCCGGCGTTCCCGTAAGACCCACGTTAGAATTCAGATCATATCCAATCAATAAGACTATGTTAATTAATCTTCTTCTTTTTTCAAAAGACAGTTAATCTTCTTATTGTGGGAATACATACAGAGCAGCGTGTTTACAAAGAGCTCATCAGCCATACAATATACTACAATTGCAGCTGTTCCCAGAAGATCTGGAACCACAAGTTCCTCAGCCAAAATCCGTTACAGAGATACAAGTTTCGCAATGCTTGACGCCGACCTATGCTGCTCCGGGAGCGTCCTCCACCACGCCACGAAAGACGAGCTCCCCAGAAACACGTCCTTGCCCAAACTTCCAGAGTTATACCAGCCATGTGCATCGTTCTCAAGTTTAACCACCCGGTCTCTCAGGTCCTCGAACGCCCTGCCGTCAGCCATCTCGGCCTGGAGCTCCTCGACCACCGCCCAGAAGCAGGACTCGAGGCTGGACCCAACGGGAGCGCGCTGCAGCTGCTCATGCCATTTTTGCGTGTACTTGTACCGCCTCGGCCGCCCCTTGGAGAGGTAGGAGCCGGTGTCCTCATTCTTGGAGTGCCGGTAGTAGTTGGCGATGTCCAGCGGCTCGACCAGGCGACGGAACAAGGTCCCCAGGCTCACCCACTCCTCACGAGCCTCGAAGCCGTCCGGCAGTTCACGCCTCCGCAACATCTCCACTATCTCGTCCCAGAGGCCAGCTAGCTCCAGCCTCCGCACGTTTGCATCGAAGTCATGCACCTCACGTTGGAGCTTGAAGGAATCGTAGTAGCTAACACCACGGAGTTCCCTTGATCTTTTGTACTCGTTTAGGGACCCGAGGGCTTCCTGAATCTTTTGGCAGCTTTCATCTATTTTTGTTTGGTTTCTCTGTCTTTGCTTCTCCCATTGCGCAGCTGCAGAAAGGTGCAGTATAGCTTCCCTGCTCTGTGATAAAAAAAAGAAGGAAGTTTTCTTTTCTACATTAGAAGAATGCATGTTGGTTAGAAAATGCTTTGAACACGAAGAAAAATATGAAAATAAAGTTTATAGTCAATTACAATCTAAGATAGGATAGAAAATGCTCGTGTTAGACTGAAGTACAGCAGATGGTCAATGACAACTTTAGTGATTTGCAACTATCAAGAGTGACTTCACGGTGACGAACACATGATCACTATCATGAAGGAAATGCAAACTACTTATAATGAACATATGTACATGGCACATAAAGGAGGAGGACGGGGGGGGTGCTAGTTGCTTACTAATTCAATGCTTCCAATGGCCACTCTATCTGTCTGCCTACCAGGAACAGTTGATGAGATTGTTCCCAGGTAATCCACACAGATTATATCCTGCATGCACTCTTTAATTGGTTCATACTGCCAGTGAGCACTTAAGCTTCTAGCAGCAGCATCAAGCAGTTGTTGTTGGGGATCCAACTGAAGGCAGTAAAATAACAACTGCAGTACAGCATCTGAATTTGTGAGAACAATCAATTGCTCACTGCTTGTCAAGAAATGATAAGTTCCACAGGGTCTGTAAGGGGAGAGGTCAATGAAGGAAGTCAATGTCCCTAGGATGGAGCTGGTACATCCCATGAAAGAACAGGCTTCATAGCTGGCAATAGATAGTGTGCTTCTCAATAAAGTTTCATAATATCCAGGTATGACAAGAGACCTCCCAGCAGGGGAGTTGTTTGGCGTCTGAGGAGAGAACCAATCCAGAACAGCTTGAATTTCTTCTCTGAAGGACGCAAGCGGAGTCAGTGGTATGCGTGGGACAATGTCCAGTGGAAGAAGGAAATGCAAAATACACTGTGACCAGCCCTCTCTTTTAACAGCATGGTTGAAGATATTGTCTCCAATAAGAGGAGCCCCAAAGGTCACACAAAATGGGTGTGCTTGATTAACACTTCCTCGTCTGGTGCACTTCTCAAGAAACCATATAGCAGCAAGGGTGGCTATTGAACCTCCTGATGAATGGCCTGTGAATACTACACGTTTCTCCTCCGCCACAGCTCTTGACACCTGTATTTGTGGGGAAATAATTTTACTTTATGTTCCCTTCGCTGAAAACACAAATTCAAATCTAATTTATCATTTCAAGACTACCATTTTTAATAAAACATCAATCATCATGATATAGAAATAGTACCCCGTGCAACCAAGACTATGAAAAGGCCCATGGTGATCACCCATAAGAAAGGAGGAAGGAACAGAAATCGTTACTTTTTTCCCCTCTTTTGTGTTTGTGAAATAATGCAAATATTGTTGATCACGAAAACAGCACATGATAATACTAAGCAACTGGATGGGTGGAGCTGGAGCATCGAAGTGGCAATGCTACGAATATGCTATGGAACTTACCTGTCTGAATTTTACTAATTCCTGGAATCTCATCACCTCCCCTTCCGTGTTTTTATAAGCTCAAGTGAAACAAAAATAACAGAAAGCACAGATAAATTGAATATTTGCTAAAATATTTACGTTGTCTACCTACATGGCTATTTTGCAGTCTAAGCCTAGATGCAAACCTGCTGCGCCACCCTTTTATGAGATGTAATTATATAACTATGTTTCACTCAGACTGGCTACTTTATTTGTAACTGTGTGACTTTATTTATGGTTTCTGCTATCCTGCCCTTGACAAGAGATCTGGGTTATGTAGTGTGAGCGAAAATGTTTTTCTTCCTTTTCTCTAACAAAAATAGGTAAATCAAAATTTTGCCAAAGAAACATCATGTCAAAGACCAGCCAGAAAAGATGCTCTTGGTGGCATCCACTAGAGCAAAGAAAACACACAAGTATATGTATCTCCAATCTCATACTGCTGACTAGCTCAATATCAACCAATATATACATGAACAGACAAAGTTAAACTACATCCATGTTGCATGTACGAAAATTGTGTCAGCAGATTAATATTCAAAATACTTTTAAGACATGTTGATTTTGTAGCAATTGACAATATGGTCACTGAGGAATCTACTTTTTGATGAGTTTACATTACTAGACCGAGGGTACGAGGGAGTATTTCAATACAGCAGAAACAAGACTTAACACACCCTGAGCTCAAAACTTTAAACAATGTATACTTCATAAGTATTTTGGAAGGAAACAAGCTTCCAAACTATCAATATAATATCATCTCCAGCTCTTAGTCTCAATATAATTGTACTACTAGTAATATCATTTCCATTAGCAACAACAATATTGGGGCACAAAAATTCAAAAAGGGTTTATCAAGCTAGCTACCTCGGACTGGAGCGTCGATCCGTCGAGCAGCCGGCGGAAGGCCGCGAGGAAGGCGGCGTTGGTGCGCGCGGGGATGCCGCTCCCGACAGCACGGAGTGACGGGAACAGGGCCGGGTCCACCTCGGCGTCCCCGAACGGCGGGCGGCCGCCGTCGCCTCCCATCCAGTCGGCGGCGGACCAGGAGGGCGGGAAGGCGAAGGCGGCGCAGGGGTAGGGGTGGGACGCATGGTGCACCTGGAAGGAAGCGGAGGGGGAGGAGGCGGCGGCGGCGGCGGCGGTGGTGGGGGAGCTGGAGGGGAAGGTGAGCGCGGCGCAGTGGGCGACGAGCAGGCGGTCGTCTTCAGACAGTGACGCTGCTGCGCTCGGCGGCGCGGAGTCCGTCGGCATCGGGAGGGGTAGGGCCGGACCGGGAGGCGAAGGCGGCGCTTGGAATTGGAAGGTGGAGGAACGGAGGTGTTTGGACTTTGGGGGAATTCATCGTGAGCCACCCGTGAGCGACCGGAAAAGTTGAGGGGATGTTCATCACTGTTCTATTTTTTTTCCTATTTGACCACGAAGATGTAAAAAGTCAAAAATACTCTTAAATTTAAATATGTCATTATTTATAATTTTTATATAAAAATTATCTTTATTTAATTCTGAAAAAAAAATTAATATGATTAATATATCTTAGAAAAATTATATCTTTTTTACGGTATTAAAAGAAGATAATTTTTATATGAAAATTATAGATCTCAATGAGATCTACAACTTTCTAGTTTTAAGTTTTTCCATTTAAAAGATGCTAAAAAAATTAATGACATATTTAGATTTAAATGTATTTTCGACTTTTCACACCTACAGTTAACATCATTAGAGCCCAATCTAACGGCAATGGCATAGAGGGTAAAAAAAAAACAGTTAAACAGTGCCGCCGTTGAACTTTTTCAATGGCTCACAAAGTTTTTTTTAATGGCTCGAGCAATTCTCTCTAGAGGCGGCTGAGCGGCGGTCCCAGGGTTGACTTGTAGCCGCGCCGAGGAGCGACGAGTGCTTTGGAGGCTTTCGGCTCCTGAAGTCGTGCTCGTGCCGCGGCCGCGGCCGCTGGCTCATGGTACGACAATAGCCACGCGGGACTACGGACGATAGCTGGACGCATAACGCTGAGGGCTCTTCTCAAATACCGTGGTGCAGGCACGAGTCTGAAACAATGGAAGACAGTGCCAACAGAACTGGCTACACACATGTTCGCATGCATGCTATACACATATGTGCAGGTTTTGTTTGAATACAGTCGAATCTTTCTTAATCCACATGTATTGTAATAGATTAGGATAAAAAAATTAACTAATTTCTAACCCAATCCAATCAACACACATGAATTGACGTACGAGTGCATCCAAACAGGGCCACAGTATTTTTCAGCTACAAGTTCCAGACGGAAAACGAAATCATAAAGACTGAGTTAGGTTGTCCGAGTCTCCAACAGGAGATGCATCGGGAGACCCAAACCTAAAATAGATCTCCAACAGAATACATATAGCCTCCAACAGAATACCTATATGAAAGACTAATTTTAAAGTGTTAGAAGAGGTATAACCCAAATCTGAGTATCTCTCTCCTGTATACCCATTTGTAGAAATGTTCTCTTTTGGGTCTTGTTGTTGGAGAAGACAAAAAATAAATATTAAACCAATTGCCTGTAGCGCTACCCAAGCGTTGAACGGATCTTGTATTTTGGGTAACGGTTGTTGGAGACGGTCTTCGAGCCCTCGATTTGTCACCCTTTTACAAACTACGCGCAGACCAACTCAGAAACATATGCCAGAAGCTAATAGGACCTACTTTTACAGTATTATTTTATGAAGCCTCATGTTCACAATGAACAGGGGAAGAGCTGCAATATCCTATCAATGTAAATCATCTTGGTTCAAAGTATCCAATGACAGATAAAACACCTCAGGAAGCAAAGTCCGTTCCAGAAATGTTGTCTCATAAATCCTTCAGCTACTACAGAATTCTCAATGTGATACAAAAGCAGGATGACAAAAATAGCAGTAACAAATTCTTCTATGTTCTCTAACCTGTTATCATAGTTATAACACATTGCCCATGAAATGATGAAACCCATCCAAAGGTATTCAGATCACTAGTACATCAATAGAAGCATACCTGTAAAGATAATTGACCATGATACCTCCACTTTGTTGAATGCCCTTCTCTGACTGGTCGGCCATCCAGTTTATTCTCTCAATCATCTACCAAAATACCAAGTGCTGTTATCTGATTTGATTAGACCCAAAGTTTACGCATAAAAAATAGCATATAACGCTTACATAGTAAAGAAGGTACTCCAACATTGTTTTACAAAGTTATTAAAAATATATTTTTTTCGGGTATAGGTTAACCAAATATAAATTTTGTTTTCCAAACATGGAAAAATGACATCTGTTCCTCAGCAGCACCATTTCAAACTGAATTTGTGATAGTAGCTTACTGCTCCATTTTGCAAGTGAAAATTTGCAACAGCATCTAGAGCTTTTCCTCGCTTCTTCTCTCTGGCAAGATACCTAGACATAATAGGCATTAGCACAAAACTATCAACGATTGCATTATTGCAACTAATTCGCGTTTTCTAATGTGCACATACGGTGGAAATAATGTTTTTGCATACCTTGCACATAAACGCATAAGAGGCGGTTTTAATGCAGAAGATAATTTGCCAGACTTTACCCACTGTCTTGATTTCAGTATATCTTGCAATAGTTCAATCCCTTGATTTCCATCAGCTTCTTCGCTGCAGCAACAATAACACAGCTGATCAAAGATCAATAGTGAACTTCTAAAGTTTTTACCCTATTGCTTTGTTGGATAGAAATATATTCACAACAAACATGAAAGGAGTTGATAAATTGCAGAACAGATGCATGTTTATAAAGTTTAGAACATCTGAATTCCCAGAAAACGGAAATATGTGGAGTTACTAGGTACTACTAACTTCCAAAAGGGAAAGGAACTTAGAACAGTAGAAGTATAAGACAAGAATAGTCCTGGCTACAGATGAAACTCAATTTCAGACATTGTCTCAGAATGAACATACATGGCATCATGAATCATTCTCTCTTCGTCAGGAAGAAGGATGGATTCTTTGAAAGTAGAACAGGCTCCTAGTGAATTCCCCTCCTGTGACTCTGCCTCTGATAATTTTATTTGGGAGGCCAGCTTAGCAAGAAGCCATTGAATGAAACCAGGGATTGGGCTAAGTGTTGCAAAAATCTGCATGAAATACCAAAAAACAAGTATATAACATTTAAGGTATTAAGAAACACAGCCAATGTCTTAACATGAGCTTCATGAGCCTGATAAAATTATTCTGTAATGTTACTATCAATGCCTTAACTAATTTTGAGGGAACCAGTAAGTATTACGCTTTTAAGCGAAACAATTAATTGACACTCAGAAGCACAAGGCTATTGCATTCGAGTGGTTTAGAACAAAATGAAAATAAAAATGGCGTATGTTTAACAGTGATGATTAATATTGGATATTATAAGTGGTACCTGTACTGATGGCATATCTCTTCTCAACATGTCAATCACACGCTTGAGAAGAAACTTCCCTAGATTAATACCTGATAAACCAGGCTGGCAACATTAATAGACGATTAGTTCGAGGCACCAGTTTGTTGGTCAAGCTAGGGCCTATAATAATAGAACTATATTTGTGAATTATGTTTACCAATTTTGATTACCTGGGTTGACGATATTGAGTAAAATAGTGCACAGCTGGCTTCAGATTCAGGAGTCGGGGGTCATCCCACAAGACCTCCTACATGATAAAGGAAGAGCATAAGGTGCAGCGGAGGAATAGGATACCCATTTAATCGATATGACAAACTTTAAATAACCTGTATAGATGCGGCCATATCTTTGAGTAAAGCAACTTCAATGAAAATCAGGGGCTCCCCTAGTGTTAAAAAAAGATAGTGAGAGCACTCATAGAACGTCAACTGCAGCAAAAATAATACATGCTAGGATAGATGCAAACGTGCAGTCATACACTAATTCCGCCGTTATGGAAAATTATTAATACATTTTTTAGATGATGGAAAATTGATACATGCTAGGATAAGGTGAAACTATACAACTAGATATCTGCATCAGGTTAGGCACATTTGCAGAGTTACTTAGAAGACTATATTCATTTGTAGCATCACTAGTAACAGTAGGCATCAATACTCTAGAAATGCAGAAAGCCACAACTAGCAAACAAACATTTTTATGTCTCTTACTTATCAAAATGAGCTAGGAGACGGTGAAGCCACTATTTTTGGCTTCACCGGCTTCTCGAAGGACCATGTAAAGTAGCAAAGAGCAAGAATCGTATGCAGCCGTGCCAATGGGACCTCAATCCTACCTGGTATTGCTGGATGGAAGTACCCAAAGCATCGGCGGCCAATGCCCAATCTTCTCTTCAAGTCCATCAGATTCCTGATTGGATGCACGGCCTAAATAATTGAACTCAAAACCATCAGTTGAAACACCGTAGTAACAATTCATGCTGCACCAAACCAAATGAACAGGGAGGCCGGCCACAAACTTCATATGCCACAATCTTCTCTAGCAAGGAGGCAGGATCATCCCAGGTAATCTGGTGGAGCGTCAGTGCCGCAGTTCTAAGCCAAGTCACTAGCTTCTCCTTCAAGTACGAGTCCAGAGCCCGCAGCGCTGGAGCGTTCTCCTCCCTGCATTGTAAAATTGGGATCAGCCAGGGTCCCAGGCACCATAAATCCCCAAGTTTCTCGTAATGAAAAATAACAAAGTATGGCAATGGTAGTGTTAATTGCAATCAATCTCACCCCAGCATGGCGAGGAGATCGGCGCGGAGCACGGCGAGGAGCTTGAGTACCGGAGTGCGTCCCGGAGCCCCCGCTCCATCCGGTACAGCGCCGACGCGGCGCCCTCCTTCCCCTCCGCCTCCACGTCATCCCCTCCTGAGGGCTCGGCGGAGGCGATGCTCATGTACTGTCTCATGAGGTCCCGGACACGCGCGCGGGGCACGTCGTAGTCGATGGCGAGGGAACGGAGGACCTCGCGGCGCCCGACGAGGTCGAGGGAGCGGTACCCATCGGAGAAGCCGTCGAGGGCCGCGGGGGGCGGGGAGGCGGCGGAGGCAGACGCGTGGAGCCAGTGGCGGACGAGAGCCACGGGCGGGGGCGGCGGGTCGGGGTCCGTGGGCGGCGGAAGAGGGGTCGGCTGCGGCGGCGGCGGTGGGGAGGAGATGGGGTTGGGCTGCATGCGCGCGCGGAGGAGGACGGCGAGCGACTTCGATATGTTGTGTCTTGTCATGTGACGCGGCCGTCCGTCGTCGTCGCTGGCGAGGCGGCCGAAGGCCGGAGGCAGGGAGGGTCGCGGCGCCGGCGGTTGCGTTCTCGCGGTCGCGGGCGGTGCCGCTGTGCCAACTTTTGCGGTTGGGTTCGGCCGGTGGTGACCGGTAAGGTGTCAGCGTGTTCTAGGAGTCACTGCTCCTGCTCGAGACTCACGAACGACTTGGCCTGTTTGATACTTTGATTGCTTTCGAACCAAGGACGGCCAGTTTGATTACTTTCGAACGAATTTGTTGACACTCAGAAAAATGATAAGGTGTGTTGGACTGGAAAGAGACATCAAACATAAAAGGATTAAATTCAAATCGAGTTACATTTAAATAGACAGATTTTGGTAAACTCTATAAACCCTGACAGTATTGAGAAACCCTTGTGCATGGTCTGCCCAGGGCGGTTTTGGCTGATTCTCCATGTGGGGTTGTGTAACCGGCCTAGACCGGTTTCGTTTTTTTTTTCTTGCGTGTAGAATAAGTTTTTTATTGGATGATCATGTTCGTTTCTCTTATAATCTGTCTTTTTCAGTATGTTTTTTTAACCGGAATAGTGTTTTTCTCTCACGACAAATCAGCCGAAATAGTGTTTCGACTTGTTTTTTTCGGCGAAGCGAACGGGGCCGATAAGACTACCTTTTTCTCTATTTATATGAGAGGGTTATGGACGATCGAGTCATCCATCTATCCGATCAACAATTCTAATAAACTTAGCGGTTAGTTTGGCTCATGAATGTTTTTTTTCTTATTACTCTGTTTGCTCTTTAAGAGCTTTGTTATCGATTGAAGGACGGACTTGTAATAAAGGATGATTAAGTACATACTTATATAGAGGTCAGAATACAAATTTTTTAATGATGTCCTTTTGTCAACGAAAGGTTGGAGATAAATGATGATTTTTCAATATATTTGTGTGCAATGTTTTGTGGGTATTTATCATAATTTTAATTATAACCTTATCGGTGTTTCGAGTTGCCACCGACTAGTAAATTTCTAATATTACGCGTCTGGCTTGGATGGTGTGCTAAGAGGACACGAGATTTATACTGGTTCGGGCAGAATATCCCTACGTCCAATTCGTTGCTACTGCTCGTGTTACTGCCACTGAAAGTTCGTAGTAGGGTTACAAACGGTCAAGAGAGGAACATGTCTCAAGTCTCTGGTAAGAGGAGCGAACGGGTGTCGAGAGCTCGGTCGCTTCCCGGCTGTGTGCTTGTGTGTTTTGGTCGGTTCGGGGTTCGATGGATTCGAGTGCGATGTGATGTGATGCCGCTTATGGGACGCCATACTTTCCCTTTTATAGGCTAAGAGAAAGCATGGGTTACAGTGGATGGAAAAGAGAAGAATGAGAAGGAGAAGAAGTCCTCCAGGATCGCCGGGTCCTTTTCCTTCACGTGGGTCCCGTCGACCCTGTAGACGTCAACATGGACAGCTCCACATCGTGGCCCTGTCCGTCACTAGCGCCATGTAGAGGCGTCGTCTCCCGATCATGGCGATCCACTCGTCCTGGCGGACGTCATGGTGAACTGACGCGCCTGTCAGTTCTCGTATGAGGGTTAGACAGAACAACACCGGTACGCCCGACGCTGTTCCTGATGTGAATCCCCAGGTATGGCCCGTCACGGTCACGGGTTATATTGGGGCATGCCGGTCACCTCCCTGTTGTCAGAGCTTTGACCCAGACCCATTCGCTTGGATCTAGAGTGGTTGGCGGTGGTATGGGTCTCCATCGGACGAGACGGATCCCCCAGCCTCGGGGTCGGTCGAGGCGGAGTCCCCCCCAGAGGTCGGGTGAGGCGGAGCTAGCCCCTAAAGGTTGGGCGAGGCAAAGCCCGTGGCCTCGGTGTAGGCGAGGCGAAGCTAACCCTCAGAGGTCGGATGAGGTGGAGCCCGCTCTTAGAGGTCGGGCGAGGCGGAGCGAGCCCTCAGAGGTCAGGCGAGGCAGAGCCTGCGGCCTCGGTGTCGGGCGAGGCAGAGCCATCCCTTAGAGGTCGGGCAAGGCGGAGCCCGTGGCCTCGGTGTCGGGTGAGGCAAAGCCCGTCCTCAGAGGTCGGGCGAGGAGTAGCCAGCCCTCAGAGGTCGGCGAGGCGTAGCCCGCAGCCTTGGTGTCAGGTGAGGCGGAGCTAGCCCTTAGAGGTCCGGCAAGGCAGAGCCCACGACCTCGGTGTCAGGCGAGGCGAAGCCCACCCCCAGAGGCCGAGTGAGGCGGAGCCAGCCCTGAGAGGTTGGGCGAGGTGGAGCCCACGACCTCGGTGTCGGTGAGGCGGAGCCCGGCCTCAGAGGTGGGGCGAGGCGAAGCCCGCCCCCAAAGGCCGGGCGAGGCGGAGCCAGCCCTCATAGGTCGGGCGAGGTGGAGCCCACCCCCGGAGGCCGGGCGAGGCGGAGCTTACGCACCTAGGGGTCAGTTGGAGCTGTAGTCGGTCGGTTGATGGTTATTAGCTCCTGCTCTTTAGGTACCCAAGTATTGGTCCCCGACAGTAGCCCCCGAGCCTACAGAGGAGTAGAACACTCCTTCAGAGGCTTTTCCAAATGGGAGGACTCTGAAGGCCTTGGCCTTCTTTTGTTGCCCACAGCGTGACCTGGGGGCAGTGATTCCCTTTCCTCGAGCCCCCTCCCATAGCAGGGGCCCGGTCGAGGATCGGTTTCTCTTTGCGATTATCTTCCCTCAAGCATTTTTTTCTCGAGGGGCCGAGCCGTGCCATGATTTTTCTCTACGGACGAATCATGGCACCCAGTGAGCTATTAATGGGCTAGTCTAAGTAGGGTCCTCGGCATCCTGTTCGTGGGATTCTGGCTTGGGTTAGTTTGGTGACTGACCTTGGATTCTCAGCGGTCGATCCAAATAGTTCTTGGGTCCATTTGGCCGGTCTCGAGGGCTAAGTACCTTTCTTCAAAAAAAACTATGGATCATTACCGGTCGAGACACGAACATGGGCCGGGATGCCCGCGGCTCTCATGCGCCCAGGTACTGGCCACTAGCAGGCACATCCCTTTCCTCCTCTCACCCTAAAGGTGCCTAGAGCGGTTGTCGAACAAATCGATGGGCCGACCTACGAACTCCTAGGCCCAGTCGGGCCGTAGAGGCACTTTTAGATCCGTATTCCTCTTACTCGTGACGAGTTGTGGCTCGTCCGGAGAGGCGAAACATTCGGTGAGTTTCTCGAGGGAACAGATAGAGATTGCATGTGCACGTCCCACGGTGGGACGTTGTGGTAGATCATGGCAGGCGTGGAGATCTAGGTAGGTGGTTTGTGTCCTCGCATCCATCGCCCCTATAAAACCAAAGGGTTCGCCCCCCGAATTCCATACCTTGCATCCTTGCCTCTGTAGCCACGACCGCCGCCGCTAATCGCTCAGATTTCCTATCTCCACATCCTCGCCGCCATCGAGCTCGCATCCACCCGCCCCCATCTCTAATGGATCCATGGTGCTGCTCTGACATCACCTTCCAGCGCATGAAGGGCCTCGTTCATCGCAGTCTTCTCCGTGTGTGGACCGCGGCCGAGGAGTGGTTGCTCGGCGAGGAGGACATGCCATCGTCGCCCGATGGCTATGTGGTGTCGTTTGCCCACTTCCACGAGCGTGGGTTTGCGATCCCCGCCCATAGATTTCTTCGGGGGCTGCTACACTACTACAAGATCAAAGTGAAGCATCTCAATCCCAACGTGATCCAGCACATGGCGGCATTCATCGCCCTGTGTGAGGGGTTCCTGGGGATCAACCCCCACTTCGATTTGTGGAGGTACTTCTTTGCCGTCACCCTCCAGAAGAAGAGTGAGAAGAGTAGTAGGTAGGAGCAGCACATGCCGATGGGGTGCGCCGGCATCCAGCTCTAGAACAATCGGGTCGGCGAGTACCCATCGATGCGGCTATCAACGTCCAACAAGGGGTGGCACTCGCAATGGTTCTACCTCAAGAACGATGCCGCCACCCCTCTGCCGGAGTTCACCGGGCGCTTGATCGAAGAGGCCTCGGAGTCATGGAGGAAGTGGGGCATCCCAGAGAAGGGCAAGAAGAAGACCGGGACCACATCACCGCCATCCACATCCTCAAGGAGAACGACTTGAAGGGGTCGAGCGTCATTGGGCCTACCACGCAAGGAGGGTGGCGCCGTTGATGATGCGCGCGCTCCTGCTGTACGCGACGGCGCCCGAGGCGTCTTTCGATGGAATGGCGCTCGCCGAGGGGGGCACTCCCCAACTCCGAGATCGTGCAACGCATCAAGGAGCAATGGAGCTCTCATGGGATGACGCGGGAGCCCCCCTTGATTTTGTCTACCCGGTGCTGGGACATCCTCCGATGCAGCCAAAACCAGGCCACGTCATCTTCATAAGTTTACCCTTCTTATGCCTTCTCTTCAATAGATTTCTCCACCTCTCGATACTAACTATCGGGTTCATAAACCGGGGTCCCTCGTGGACCGACTTCCCAACAAAGGCTCAGCCCGAGCAGATAAATGCGCAACTCATGGGCCGGCCCAAGTACCTAAATGATAGGCCAAAGGGCAATTGAATCTCCTACTGGGAGGCCTAGCCAAGGAGGAACAACGCTCGCTTTCCGATTTTGGCCCACCTCTCCGACTGGAGCACTCGCTTCGATCTCCAGCACACCTCCGAGATGGCCTCTTCGACCGAAAGGCTTGTCCAAAAGCACTGCTTCTGACTCTGACCCGCGTCTCCGATTGGGGATATGCTGAACCCCTGCTGATGCCTCTTCTTCGACTAGCGCGATCAGAACCGACTGGGACCGAATGACCGGGGACGCCCATTCGGAAAGGACCAGGGAGTGAACGGAGAAAAGCAAGGCAGGGCGCACAAGTCAAACCACGATACCAGAGACCGTACCCTGTATACCCTGCGAAATAGAGAAACGACCTGATTTCTGCGAAGGGAAATCCACAGAGTCAAAGTGTATTATGACC